CGGCCCCACCCTCAAAAACCCCTATTACCACTGGATCCATATTACAGGCGACTGGGGCTTGTTTACCTCAGGTGGGGCCACATAACCACATCTGACCAAAAATCTTATAATAGGGGACTACGGACCAGAACAAGGTGGACCGAGATAGACATTTCTGGCAAACCGGCTAAGCTTCCATCTCAAAAAACGCATGAACGTTACTCTCCTTCAAAATAAGGATGTTCGCGAACTTGGATGCGGCGAAACAGTCAGCTGTCGACACCAGGACGCCGCCAACGGCCTTGATTTTCCGCGAAATTATGATAGTTTGCTGTGCGATGTGAGTTGGAAATTGACTTTATTCAGTAGCAACATCATTGCAGTCTCGTCTTCGCATCTAAGCCACATCAGGCACATTCCCAAGGATTGAATGTCGGCTGACACCACTCAACTGGCGGATGTTGCGTCAGAAGACCGGAAAGCAGGGAACAAAGGATCGGGAAGGCTACGCTGGCAGACAACAGCGTAAGTTAGAGGTGACTGAAATCACCTTACTTGCATATACTACTGGTCAGTGGGAGAGTAGCAAAATAAACAGCAGCTAGTTTCGGAGATCTTCAAAAACATTGACTAAAAGGAGGTATTCTTCTTGAAAGAGGCAATTTTTTGCAGATAAATGGGAGTACCGATAAAGACAAGGATACCCTAAATGTTCGTTTCTGGCTTTTTAGCCGTCACCAACCAGTCTTGTCAAATCCTAGGTGTGGCGCATTTGGGATTCGAACCAGGGGTCTTTGTTTATCGAGTCTAACTCCTGCCACTGAGCCACAGGCCCGTTGCCATACCAGTCGCGACCGGAAATCCAACTTACGAACACGTCCTGTAACCTGATTGGTGAACGCCCCTCTACCATTAACATTAGTAGGTCCATGAGTTAGCGATTTCCCAGATATTCCTCGTCTTTCCGAAACTCCAAACCATGCACGATAATGTTTTGGTTCTAGTAAAGTGTACGTAGCATTCTAGGGCTGCACCACGTTCAAGTAAGTGAGCTACAAATTATGTTACAGCCTTTCTACTTTTGAAGACAATACCTGGAAACGACAGTAACCGAAAAAACCAAATGAGGTTCAAGCAAACTAACTACTTGTCAATTTTATTTTTGCTTCGAAAGTTCCGCAATCCTTCTCTCCATCTACAGAATGACTGAACAATAATTCGGAGAGGGTAGCTAACACAACTACAATGGGTTTTGAAAAATAGAGGAAATTACAGACTATAGAAATCATTGTTCTCCGACATATTATTAAATTAAACAGAGAAATGCCTAGAGACATCTAGCCACGGAGTGGCAAAACATGCAGAAGGTGGGTCAACTCATGAAATGGCAACCAAAATTCCGAAGTGCCCTTTCGTTTCGAAAAGATTAATTAAGTAGGGTTGTAAAACTAATCAGTCCGCAATATAGTTCTATAATAATTCAGTTACCGCAGGATGCCAGCTTTCGAATGAAATTTCCTCCGGCTGCATGCAAAAACTATGCTCTTTAAAATAATTTTGGGCTCACTCTGCCGTCACACTTGCATTCAAAGTTTCCAAACTACAAGCCATGTATATTTCGCGTACAAAAATCCACACATTTCTCTACGGTATTAAGAGGAGACCATATGGGGTTCATAAAATTTGTATTTAATTTGATGCATATTGTCAACTTTACAAGCCACATTGGTAAATGCCGAGACATGGCGTTTCATGAACGGCCATCTAACGATATTAAAAAGTCTCACAATTATAGACTTTTTTAAAACCGAATTATACTTTCCTTTTGAGTATGAAATTGGATTAAGACGTGATTTTCTACCGAATGAGTAAAAGAATGAATATTTTATTCATTTTTTCCATGAAATATAATTGAATTTTCAAGGGCATCGAAAATCGATAAGATAATTGCATGCTACATAAGTAGTCATTTTTTGCAGAGTATAGATCTTGCATGCAGCCAAAAATAAGTTCTTTCGAAAGCTGATACCCTGAGGTAACTGGATCATTATAGATATATACTGCATCATGATCAGTTTTACAGCACTACTTAATTTATCTTTTCGAAACGAGAACGCATTTCGAAATTTTGGTTGACATTACAAGAGTTAACGCATCTACTGTATATACGATTTGTGGATCAGTTCTTGCATCGTCAAACAAGCGTGTAGGATTCGTCCCTAAATATAAAACGCTACGTAGTTGGATTGAAGGGCTATATGCCGCAAGCAAGATTGATACGGATACTCTTAGTGCCCAGAGACGGAGTTGCCTGATTAGTTTCAGATTTAAACCGTTTGCTTCTTGGAGGGAGTGCCGATATAGGGGAGAAAAACTGGAATGGTCACTGCTGGTTCATTAACCGTCGCCAGCCAGCCATAGTAAACCCCAGGTTCAGATAATCTGAAATCCGAATGCGGACTCTTTGGTCTACCATTGAGATACCGACCCACTGTCCTGTCGGTTGTGATCGGACACATTAACCACTGAAGAATAAAGCGTTCAACAATCAGGTTATGGGAGATGTTTGTCCCGTTGCTTCATGGGTTTCATTCTATAGCCTTCATATATCGACTTGTGATATGGACAGGTAGGAATACCGACACAGACGAGGTAACCGGGACTGGTCATTTCCGCCTTCGTATTCGCCGTCACTCAGCCATAGTAAACTTCAGGTTTTGCCGACTTCTGAGCGTCTCAGACGAAGAACTCCAACATTGATTTAGAAGCCCAATAAAGTACAACATTATTGTCCGTATCGAATTTTTCCTCTTTAAATCGGTAGGCGCCATATTTTGACAACCTGCTACTAATGAGACACTCGCACTCGGTAATAAGAGGAGACCATATGGGGTTCATAAAATTTGTATTTAATTTGATCCATATTGTCAGTTTTACAAGCCACATTGGTAAATGCAAGAACCTGACATTTTATGAACGGCCGTTTCACGGTATTTAAAAGTTTCACAATTAGAAACCTTTTTGAAGCCGAATTATACCATTTCCTCGAGTATAGGATTGCAAGAAGGCGTAATTTCCTACCAAATTAGCGAACGAATGAATATTTTTATGCTTGTTTTCCATGAAATGTAATTGGACTTTTAGAGGCCTCGAAATCAATGAGAAAAATGCCTGCTACGTAAGTAGTCAATTTTACAGAGTATAGTTTCTGTATGCAGCCGGAAGGGCGTTCGTTCGAAAGCCGGCATCCTACAGTAATTAATTCATTATAGAATGATACTGCAAGTCGATTAGTTTTACAATTCTTTTGTATTAATCTTTTCGAAACAAAAAAGCATTTCAGAATTTCGGTTGACATTTCATGAGTTAGCCCACCAACTGTAGTTGCGTCACTGAATAATCGGAGTACAGAGTCTCTAACTACATTATCGATTTTTTAGGCAAAATGAACCTTTCAACCAAAATATCGAGGTCTGTGATACTGACAACATGAAGCAGTCAAAAAATCGGACGGGATAACTCCGGAGTAGTAATGCAAGCTTCTACGAGTCCTTTTAGGAATGAAAATTTGAGGCGAAAGAAACTGCCATAAAATGATACTAAAAATGTGAGCCAATAATAAAGCATTTCTTTTGTGCTTGAAAACTATTAGAGCTTTTGAGCAGCCTTGTGAAAAGACGGAAAAGCTCAGAGCCTGACCAGACGTGGGCAGTTAGACAGTTTTAATTGTCACTAGTCTGGAATATAATTAGATTTCACGAGAAACTTGCACGGGTCGAGTTTTGAGTTTTATTTGCACGTCCCTATATGTGGCGCACGGGTTAAGCAAAGACCTTCCTTCACGTCAATCACTGTGCCTAGTCTCATCCTCGCCGTGTCTAACAGTGGCAGACCGCTAGATCATGAAGTGTGAAGGGAGAGTGAGGTCAATGCTCCCCTGATTCAGTGCCTAGTTCTTTATTACAATCAACTAAATGCGCTTTAAAAACAACAAGACTTGCCAGACAGTCGTAATTCAGGCGACCGTCGACCGACGGGACAAGCAGGGCTGGGGGTCAGGTTGCCCTGGCTTCTCCTTAGTATGGCTTTGATGACGCTCCCACTGACGTGGGATCCGAGTCGACCTCATAGAGGCCTGGCAAAGTCTTAAGCATCCGGTGGTGCATGACACGCGTAGACGGACCGTCTAAACTTGCCAGTGACTACGTCCACGCCGGTCTCCACCGTTCGGTAGGAAAATGGATGGGGAGGAAGAGAACGCGGTAGATGCTGCGTAAGTCAGCGATACTGCGCCCATTTCGTGCGACACGCGATAGAGGCCGTCGCTGTCGCCGTCAGGACACAATGGATCCTGCTCTCCTAACCGGACCAGTTCTCTTATGCACATATACTGACTTTAGAGCGGCGCCAAGGCCATCATCAACAGGTTTCATCGACCAGTCAGGACGGTTATCGGGGTGCTGTTAACGCCCTTAGTACAGCCTACAGCCGTGTAACAGGTCGATCAGACTAAAATGACCATCCTGTACAGTTTGGTCTCTGCCAATAGAAGCGAAGAAACGAGTCCTAGAAAGCATTCGTGAAGAAGGAGACACGATCGTTGGGACAACAGCCTTATCCGCCAGATGTTTCGGATTCCTGCTCGAACCTATCACCAGAGACAAAAGCAGATACGGGTGGTTCATGCACAAGGGACTACAGTATTTATAAGATGCAGTCACCATTCTACCACATACCTATGAATATCCACGACTCCCTCCCCCTTCATTAGGGATCGTAGCACCTGGTGTGTTGGCAATTTGATGGCCGACATTTGCGTCGTTAATTTCTGCAATTTCATCACGTGCGTTGGATGTTGATGTTATGATTGGTCGACTATATGACCCACCGATCCTGGCGTTGGTAACAGTGTTCACCTCTGCGCTCCCCGCGTGGCTAATTACTCCGCCTAGGCGAAGTCTCAACACCGAGTATGGAATGGAAAGGTAGTTGAACATGTTGATTGAGTAGGGGCTAGTGAATCATGTCTCATTTAGCACGCGGCAAACGTGGTTTTCACGTCTTGTGAGAATTTCGGTCTCGTCGAATTCGAATGTGCGGCCGAATCGCGTCGAACGAGCTGCAGCTTTAGAGCTGGTGTCATTTCTCCACACAGCTGCAGCGTGTTCGGCCATTCGCGTTCGGGGCTGTTTTTCGGTTTCTCCGATGTAGTTGCTTTCTTCGCAACTGCGCCAGATCCGATAAACGAATGCAGACATTTCTTGTGGTGGTAGCGGGTCTTTCGGGTTCATTGCCTGACGCTTGATGGTTGCCTTCGGTCTGTGTGCAACTCCAACCCCAAGTGGTGCGAGAAGGCGGCCGACAGCTTCCAAAACATTCTTGACATACGGAATCGCTCGCCAAAATTTGGTGTCTGTGCAGTTATTCCTTTCATCCCTTTTGCGTATGCACCGGTTGACGAAGTTGCGCGGATAGCCATTGGCTTTGAAGTCCCGTAGGAGGCATTGTGGTTTGTCAATCTTGTCTTCCGACTCACTGCAGTGCGTTTCGACACGCCGATAGAGCGTCCTTACACAACTGCGTTTGTGGCTGATTGGGTGGTTTCTATTGAAGTTCAGTACTTTCATCGTATTTGTCGCTTTCCTGAGCACTATGGTCTTCAGTCCATCATAATCTTTGCGACATATGAGGACATCCAGGAAGGCCAGCTGGTTGTTCTCTTCCTCCTCCATTGTAAAGTGTATGCCCAGGAAGACCGTAGTCAGATGTTCCTTGAAGGTCAGCAGCTGATCCCGGTCGATAACGACGAAGGTATCATCCACATACCGGACCCAGAAATTCGGTCTGTGGTGTTGGAAGACTAGCGACTCTAACCGTTGTAGGACCGCCTCGACGATGAATCCGGAAATCAGCGAACCCATTGGTGTACCCTTCCCCTGTTCGTAGATTGTCTCGTCGATCGAGACAATCGAGCTGCTTCTATAAAACAAATACGATGGAACGAGAATTGTCTTGTACACATCTAAGTCCGTCAGCTCCTGAAACTCTGTCTCAGGGCGTACTTCACGTTCGACGGGACAATCTGCGAACAGGTGAAAGGCACACCAACGGGTTCGTCGATTTCGGAAAAAGACGTAACCGAAGCGTAAAATGTTGAAAATAACTCATTTTAACAAAACCCTTCCAGTGGGTTTGCCGGAAAGGGAGAAAATTCCAACGAATGAACTGTGCAGTCAAATTAACATAACCCATTCAGTTAGCCTTTTTATTGACCTTGGGGTGAAAGGATTTGGACACACGGAAACCTTTACAAAACCGAGATATTAACCAAGGCGCAAAATTCTTTAAAACCGAATTATACTCTTCTTTTGAGTAGGAAATTGAAAGAAGATGTGATTTTCTACCGAATAAGTAAAAGAATGAATATTTTATGCATGTTTTCCATAAAATATAATTGAATTTCCCTGAGGTAACTGGAGCATTATAGATTTATGCTGCATCATGGTTCGTTTTAAAACATTACTTGATTTATCTTTTCGAAACGAGAACGCATTTCGAAATTTTGGTTGACATTTAGTGAGTTAGCACATCTACTGTTCACGCACTCTGCCCTATAGGATATCGTTTAAATGTGTCACTTTAACTTTTTCCACAGAGGAAAATGGATAATCTTGCACATTAATGTCGACTTGTCAGTAAACGTAAATATTGGGCGGAATTTAGCTCCTTAAAGCAACCTGTGTTTTTCTGCGAATCCATTATGTCTACCTCTTAACTCTTCCTCAATGTATCCAAAATGTTCCTCTTAATTCCCTGTTACTTGTGAAAAATTCCAAGGTCATTGTATGAAATTGTTGAGTTTACTTGCCTTTAACCCCACTCCCCCAAAGTGTGTGATGTCTTCCTTCATTCGCCAGTGAAAAACTAGGTAATCTATTAACGTAGACTAAAGTACTGTTTTTTAAATTTTATTTAGTCTCCTCTTCACTGTTAGGCGGAAGAAATTTGAATCCGTCCAACACCTCATAACTTAAGGAACGGCGATCCTGTTGAATCGAAAGCTGATCTATCAAGGAGACCGTAGAATCTAAAGCCTTGAGATTCTGTGGACTTGTCGGTTATAAAACGAACAGTTTTATTGTGTAGGCTATTAAAACTTAATCTATTCAGCTATTTTGAAACATTATGACCACAGTAGGCGCAACAGTCAGTGCGAGGTTTTTATATTTTTCCCTCTGGATTGCAATGTTAGATGTAGCCAGTCCTTTTCTGTTAACAAGAATTCTATAAGTCACCCAGAAAGGTGCAAATTCTGCGAAACTAATTTTTGTTTTAAACGCCTATCACTCGCTGTCTGCATTTAGAACATCTTTCGCAACTTTTAGATGCCATACTCACGGAAGTAATGTTCTGCAGTGACCCAACGCGTGAGCTCTATCCTCTACATCCGGTTCAGCGGTTAAATTATTCAGCCGGAGGCGAAAAACTGTTCGTCCTGCGCCCCCTGTCATTTTCGCGGCCCCAATTTTAGAAAAGGGATGGAGCATATCTGTTCAAAGTCGCTGTCATTTCCCGAACTATTTTTTTCGGAACAATCCCAGTGACCAAAAACATACTTACTCCGCATGATTTGCCATACCGACAGCATAGGCGCTAGCTGAAAGCCCAGACACGCATGCTTCGTCGATAGCCTGGTGCTCCATGCAACATCTTGAAGGGTTCGGCTCATCAGTGCGGCCCCCGGGCGCTCTCCGTGCGCTTTCTGGTGGATAATCCGGTTTTGAAAATAAGGCCTTTCAATCTCCTCAGAAATTAACACGTTAACTTGAAACGAATCACCCTCAGTGAAGCTTTATAGACTCAGCCTGAAGGCTGATATGAATATTCGAGCCGAAATTCATTAGCAAAAGCGGAAGAACCGCGAAATATTTATAAACTGCCAACAGGTAACCAGCAGTATATACATATATTGCAACATTTATCATAGTGACAAAACAGGCATAGTTAAAAGCCCAGACCCGTGATTCGTCGGTATTCTGCCGTCACATAAAGCTTACGTTAGCGCCCGCATACATCGCGACAGTTTCACTGGCCCGCCTACTCCGCGCACAAGTACACTACTGATTACGAGCAAGTAAAATATATTTATAGGATAAATATTCATAGTTAGGGAAAAAAAGTTCAGTGTCTTGCACAACCTGGGACTGTTAAATTTGAAATCAACAATTTGAATCAGAAGTATGCGTCAGTTAGACATAAATAAGGACTAAAACCATTGTTAAACTGGGAGAACTCAATAATCAGTAACGGTGTCTTCGTGTACTAAGCAACCACAGTTTGCAGTTTTAAGCATGTGTAATCGATGAAAGCGGTAATTTATAAGTGCCTCAGACTGATCACAGGCAAACGATGATTCCCAAATGAACCTTATTGAAGGAAGAATTGCTAGGCCCTTCTCTTCTGCAGTCAGTAGCACTCCAATGTGGACACATTACAACGCAAACCATTGCCAATAGAAGCGAAGAGACGAGTCACAGGAATTAGTGTCGAAGAAGGAGACACAATCGCTGGAACAAGAGCTTTATTTGACTGACGTTTCGGATTCCTACTTGAGCCCATCACCAGAGGCAAAATCAGATACGGGTGGTTCATGCACAAGGGGCTGCAGTATTTATAGGATGCGGCCGCCATGATACCGCACACCTATGAATATTCACCATTCCGCCCTTCATCAGGGATCGCTTCACTCGGTTCGATGACTGTCTAATGGCCGACATTCGAGTCGTTAACTGCTGCAATTTCATCACCTGCACTGGATGCTGGTGTGATGATTGCTCGACCACCTGGTCCACCGACCCTGGCGTAGGGGCTAGTGCTTGCCTATGCACTCCCCGCGTGGCTAATTACTCCGTCTAGGCGAAGTCTTAGTACCGAGTATGGAATGGGAAGGTCACTGCACTTGCTGATGGACTGGGGTCCAGTAAACCATGACTCAAGCAGCTCCCGGCTCACGTGGTTGTCACCTTCTGCAAGAATTTCAGCCTCGTCGAATTTGAATTTGTGGCCGAATCACGTCGAATGAGCCGCAACTTTAGAGGTGGCACCGCTACAGCGTGTTCGGCTATTAGCGTTCGGAGCTATCTTCCGGTTCATCCAACGTAGTTGCTTTGTCCGCAACTGCAACAGATCCGATAAACGACTCCGGACGTTTCTTGCCGTGGCAGCAGATAAATGACGCCAGCGCTCAATTTGCGGCTCGTTTGACGAGATCTGCTCACACATTCAAATTCGACGAAGCCGAAATTCTCGTTAGAGGTGACAACCGCGTGAGCCGGGAGCTGCTTAAGTCATGGTTCACTGATCCCCAGTTCATCACCAAGTGCAGTGAACTTCCCATTCTATACTCGGTGCTGAGACTTCGCCTAGGCGGATTAATTAGCCACGCGGGGAATGCACAGGTGAACACTGTCACCCACGCCAGGGTCGGTGGATCAGACGGTCGAGCAATCATCACACCAACATCCAATACGCGTGGTGAAACTGAAGCAATTAACGACGCGAATGTTGGCCATCAAACAATCAAAAAAACCAAGTGCAACGATCCCTGATGAAGGGGGGGGGGTGTGAATATTCATAGGTATGCGGTAGCATAGTGACCACTTCCTATAAATACTGCAGCCGCTTGCGCATGAACCGCCTGCATCTGTTTTTTTGTCTCTGATGATAGGTTCGAGTAGGGGTGTAGGGGTGTTAGCGGTGGGTCCACGTGATGGTCGAAGTGGTCGCTCACTTGCTTGCAGGGGAGACTACGCCTAGCGTCCACTTGCTGGCACCTAACTCTCACCTGTGGCTCCACGTAGCTGGGCTCTGCTCAGCGGCCACACCCCGGGCAACCGTCTCGACCAGCGGGCTAAACCAGGTGAGGGTATCCGTGCGTGCACCTGCACGCGCGGTACTGTGGTCTGCGCTGGCCGGATGGATCTTCGCGTCGACATCGTCGAGACGAGGCTCTGCCTGGACCATCGCAGGAGGCCACCAGGTAAGTTCCCCTCAGGTAAGTGCGTTTGCTTTGTTTCTTCCTTTTGTTTGTTGAAGTTCCGCGTCGTACGCTGCGCTTGCTGCCCGCCCTTTATATGCTAGTCTGTCTGTTAATGGCTAAACAACACCCTCGATGCCTGCTGCGATTGTCTGTCCGTCAGTCCATGCCACTCTCTACTAATAGCTAGGTGTTACGGTGCTTGACTTTGTGTGGTGCCCTCACTTTGTCTCTGACTGATGACTGTGTCCGCTTGTCCACTCTAGTTCTAAGTCCCCTAGCGTTAGTTAGTGTGTATGCTCTCTCCTACTTCACTCCATCACATCATCACCTCACCACCAAGGTCCCAGGCTAATTCGGGTCGTTCTCTCACTAACAAAAAGTCGTGGCCCATAGTGGAGTCCGGCAGCCGTCTGGGATAACCGGGCAGCCCTGTTCAGGGATGCGTTGCCTGCCCCCGCGAGGGGGAGGGGGCTAGAAAAGGTGCCCTAAAGATCGCTGGGAACCACGCTGTCTGTAGGCTGGCCGTGGCCGCAGACAAAAAACACACGGTCGAAACAGCCAAAACCGAAACAACAACAACAACGACAACAATCGCTCTCTTCCTCTTCCAGCCTATTCTTCTTCTTCTCCTACTCCTACTTTTCGCCGCCGCAGTCGCCAGACTGGCAGGGTGAGCCCGCTCACTCTGGCAGCCTGGAATGTTCGTTCCCTTTTAGACAATCCGAGGAGCAACCGACCGGAACGGAGGACGGCGCTAGTGGCACGAGAACTGGCGCGCTACAAGGTGGACATCGCCGCACTCAGCGAGACCCGATTCTCCGAACAAGGCCAACTGGAGGAGGTGGGTGCCGGCTACACCTTCTTCTGGAGTGGTCGACCCAAGGCAGAGCGACGAGACGCGGGTGTCGCCTTCGCCATCCGGAACGACATCGTGGGACGACTACCCTGTTTGCCGCAGGG